TCATCATCAGTCCATAAATTTTATATTTACCAACCCAACATCTTAATCCATTTTCATTAATTAAAAGTCCAATTTAGTTATTTTTGAAAAAAAAAATAGAAACGGAACGTCGGAAAGTATACTCGCACGTACCCTCGACCCTCTCTACATCGTTTCCTGTTTAAAAATCAAAATTGATCATTGCAAACGACGTCATTGGTTCCCCCGCTCCGTTTGCCTTCCGGCCAGACCACCGCCTATCCGCCCACCGTCGGACATCGTCTTTCTCTATGTCACACCCTGTTCTGAATTGTTTCCTAATTCGAGGTTGTGACATGAATATCGGTTATCATAAGGTTTAGGTCCTTTGGGAAAGAGAGATTTAGACCCATTTGGGTGTGGGTGATGTAGATTTGATGACCCGGGAGTTCGATTTGTGTTTTGGGGCCAAAGGGTATATCGGTAAAGTGTCAGTTCGGGCTTTTTATGAATTTTGTATTTTACTCAGAAAGTTTTAAGGCAAGGATGAGTTGATATAACTGTAGAGATTCTCGTTACCTTTTCGTGGATATAAGGATCGTCGAAATTGGACTTAAAATGAAGAAGATATGACATTCGGAAGTTTGAAGGTTTAAGGGTCAGCCTAGTGCGCGAGGCGTACTTGGGAAGTACGTTGGGCGTACTAGGCAGGCAATTTTTGGGGGCCCTTTGGAGTACGTTGGGCGTACCAAGTGTACGTTGTACGTACTCCAATCAAATCCAAACCCTAATTTAGGGTCTTGGACCCTATTTAAGCTCCTTAACTCAGCACCAAAGCCTCTTATCTTCAGCCTTCATCCTATTAAACCCCATAATCTAAACCCTAGCCCACATTGGTGTGGTTCTTGAGCTTTTGGTGGTATTTCATGCATTTTGGTGCTCATAAAAGAAGCAGGAGTTTCTTGGAGAAGTGTGGGATTGATTGAAGCTTTTGGATCCAAGCTTTGTGCATCTTGATCTACCTTCTGGAGATATAAAGTTTCTAACTTAATGACTCTAGGTGTTAGATCTAGTCTAAGGAATGTTTTGGGTTTATTTTGGTCCTTAGAGTTATTCATGTGAGTATGAGCTACTCCACGAGCTTAGAATGCTGGATCTTGGCATTTGTAAGGCCCCATTGTTCATAAAAATGTCATTTTGATGAGTTATTTTGGACCATGCATGAGTTTGGGTTTTTATTATGTATTGTATTGAGGATTTGGTCCCATTAAGTCATGCAAAAGAGTAAATTTGCCAACTTTATGTATTAAGACATCATTTAGGGTCAAGATAAGTGTTTGGATGCTTTTGTCTTAACAATTAAGAGCTTATTTCATATTTTTGGGCCCCTGATGAGTACGATGGGTGTACGTAGGAAGTACGCTCAGTGTAATGATGGTTTCGCGCATAGACAACTTGTACCTTGTGCTTCGGGGGGGGTACACTTCTGGTATGTGGGGCGTACTCCCTAGGATGTCAACTTTAGGCATTTTAAGGTTTAGACCTTGTTGGGCCATTGGACTTCTGACTTTGGGCCATGGATAGACTAAGGGCTTTCTTGGAATTAGGTCCATGATAGTGTTGGGCCTAGTTAGGAAAATGGGCCATATTGGGCCTTAGGATGCCATTTGGGGATTTGGGTTTTTTGAGCAAATTGGATGGGCCTTGGTTTTGGGCCAAGTAAGAAAAGGGTAAAATGGTCTTTTACCCTTTAGGAAGTTGGATTATGGAGTGGGCCTCTGATTTTGGGTTATCGGGTTAATTATTAATTAAGGTTGTATTTATTGTTAGTTGGTGCGAGGTTATCCGGTTCAGCGACCGAAGCACTTATTTAATTATCAACGAATTAAGGTGAGTCTCCTCATTGTACTCGTGGGTCGAAGGCACCAATGTCGGCCCACTAGGATATTTTATGCTAGTTGTCATTGTGACTCTTGCATGGTATGTTGGGCTATGCCCATTTGTATGTTGGGTTAGGCCTATTGTATGATCGGGTTAGGCCCGTTTGTGTGTTGGGCTAGGCCCATGGATCAGGAAGGGCTAGGCCCATTGTATGTTATGTAGGGTGCTAACAGTCTTTGTGACTTTTGCATTTGTATGATCGGGCTAGGCCCTTTGGTTTGGCAAGGATAGGCCCATTATGGTGGGTTGGGCCTAACATACGAGTTGGGCCCAATTTGAGGGCTATGCCTAATGGTATGTATGGTATGTAGTATTTTTGGGAACTCACTAAGCTTTATGCTTACAGTTTTTATGGTTATGGTTTCAGGTACTTCCGGTTCGAAAGGGAAAGGTCTGGGGTGATCGCAGCGCATCCACCCATGTTTCCGCATTGTGATGATTTTGGGATTGTACTCTGATGACTGTTTTATTATGAAATACTTTTGGATGTTTGAATAAAAGATGATTAGTGTCTTGATTGAATTAAAAATGAAATTTTTACCTCATAGTTTTTGGGACGTTACACTCCAATCGTCCAAACTCCAACAATAACAGCCAATGAGTCAAGTAGACTCCAGTGACAACAGCCAAGTGATCAACATGTTTGTAACTTTATATGAATTATGATTTTATGATTCATTGTATAAATCTCCACAACAAGAAACTTATTCTTAGAGAAAGAAGTGAATAGCACATCGAAGAGGATCATAGGTTAGTAATGTTTGTTATTACCAACTACCACATTGATTTATAAATTTAGTGTTATATATATTATATATATATATATATATATATATATATTATATATATATATATTCAGGTTAAAAACTTGCACCACTATCAAGTTGATGTATTTAGGGAGGTGATTGATATGCAACTTCAAGAGATGAACCATCGCTTTAATGAAGTAAACATGAATTTACTTCTTTGTATTGCTTGTTTGTGCCCAAGTGAATCTTTCAAAGCCTTTGATTTAGATAAAATAATGAAAATGGCTAAACTTTATCCGGAAGAGTTTCCAACAGAATATGATCTTTGAGTTCTTGAAGTGGAACTTGGAAACTACATTAAAGATGTACGAGAAGATGAACAATTTAATGATTTGAAGAGAATTGGAGACCATGCCAAAAAGATGGTCGAAGAAAAGAAGCATATAATATTCCTAAGATTTATCTTCTTAGGAAACTTGCATTGTTCTTACCCGTAGCAACAACAAGTGTGGAACGTGCATTTTCAGCAATGAAGTTGATAAAGACTGATATACGCAACAAACTGAGTGATCAATTTTTGAGTGATAGTTTAGTGTCGTATATTGAAAAAATTATTTTAAAATGTATCGGTAACGACGCAATTGTGAATATGTTTCAAGATATAAGATCTCGTAGAGTTCAATTGTAAGAAATTTCATATTTTTTAGTTTTATTTACATAAGGAACCATATGGTTTTTGGTTCTAGATTCGCTACTGATTTGGACAATGGGCTAATGGAACCATAATCTCAAGAACTTAAGTGGAGACGAGTTGAATCTGTAGAGAGGAGTATTTCGCTTGTTACACTCACCGTCATCCTCACACTAAACACCAAGAAATTCCCAATCCCCACCATCAGTTAGTGCTCTTCACCCCCTCACTATTATTATCACCCTCACCCACTCCCGGTGAACTAATGAATTTGTCGCCCCGCTCTGCACCATATCTTTCGGTCATTGCACTGCCATCGCAACCACCCTTTAGCCATCATGAAAGTATGTATTTGCTAAATTCTTGTTTTACCTTCTATTTTTCGTTTTTTTATTCTTGCTGAATTATTTTTTTCTTTTTTTTATATTGAATAATGATAATTTTTTGCTGAAATATAATTATTTTTTGCTGAAATATCATTATTTGTTGCTGAAATATCATAAAATTTTGCTGAAATGTCATACATTATTAAATTTTCGGTATATAAAATCAGTTTATTTTAATTTTTTAATATCTGCAACAGCATGCAGATATTAAAAAACAAACACGTTTCTTATTACAGTCTGCAGCCGTTTTGTCCACCTCTTCTGCTGCTGTAGAAGACTGCAGAGGTGGTCCCAAGACTTAATGTAATTTTGTTTCAAAAAAACAAACAGCACCTTAGTGCTCTTCAGCCCTCACTGTTATTATCACCCTCTCCCTCTCCCAGTGAACTAATGAATTTGTCGCCCCGCTCTGCACCATATATTTCGGTCGCTCCACTGCCATCGCAACCACCCTTTAGCCCTCATCAAAATATGTATGTGCTCCTTCGTCATCTCCATGATTTCTTTCGAGAATCCAAAGTAGATCTTTCTTCATACACTTTACTTTTTCAACTGACAAGCCTCAAATCATGTTGGCAAGTGGATGCATCAAGGCATACTTGATTAGTTGGCTTCAATGTCTGATAAGCCTCATAAGATTCAAAGACAATGTTATTCTTGGTTTATTCCTCTCACTTGTTTTCTTTTCTAGAATATGTAGGCGATGGTGGGTTTTCTTTGTGTTTAGAGAGAAAATGAGGAAAAAGATAGAGACGATAACAGAGAAAATCAAAGATAGCGAAGAAGGGTAAAAAGACGTTGACTATGTCTAGGCATGGGGAGTGGGAGTATAGGTTATTATTTTATTTCTTTTGATATAGTATTAGTTAAAAGAAAATAAAATGGTATAATAGTCTTTTATGTGGTTTAGGAACCATCTATTCAAGTTTTGGAAAGCATGGAATCGTCAAAAATAAATAAATAAATAAAAGAAAATTAAAAATTATGGCTTTTGGTAAACCACAGGACCATTTATATAATTTTGTCTAAAATAAAATAAAAAGCAAACATCAACAAAAGACTAAAGTTCATTACCGTATACATGAATTATGAATTTTTGAGATATGATGAGAACTTGATTCCAAATATAAAACGACTAAAATTCGTTACATACTTTACATTGCTTTCTTTTGCTACAACACCAACAAATAATCAAATAATATACATAAACAAAAAAGTTTATACATGACGTCCACCTCCACATAAATGTCTATGTGAACTGGTTTAATCTAATATGCTCAAGATATTCTAACACTACAAAATAAAGTTGAAGTAAAAGAAAAATATAAAAAAATTAAGGATTTACAAGATATTGTTACAAAATATTTTTACAAAAGATTACCAATTTACAACAATAATCGTTCATATATGAATATATGATATATATATGCCATATAAGTAAAAGGTGTTTCATTGGGTAGACTTCAAATAAATACCCAGTCCATCTATATAAAGGCCAGAACGACCAAAAAACCCCGCAAAGGAACCTAAATCCCAAGGTACAGAAAAACGAGTCCCCACCTCTGGACCAAAAGGCCCATTCTTCTTTTTGTTTGTTATAAAACACAACGATGAGATTAGTGTAAGAGTTGAATGCATTCCCATGTTCTCTCCAACGGTTCCATCAATCCCAATTATTTCTTCGTCAACATCAAAATCAACCTATAAATTAAGTATAAAACCAATATTAACAATCATAAATAACAGATTATTTTTAGGCACAGCACAACCTTTGGAAAATAATACTAATGTTTTTAACTATTCAAGATTTATCACCTTCGATATTGTGAGACCCCTGCGGGCTTTGCCATAATGTTGAGAAGAATCTAACGAACCACTAAAATCTTCAGTCGTAAAACCAATTTCATAAATCCACTGCTTGTGAGCTATCGTTATCTTCCTAAGCTTTTGATTGCTATCAAGCAGGAACGACCATGGATCTCCACCCGTTCTCGATCCCCATAATCCGATCCGAGTAATTCTCCTGCAACTCTAACATAAAATTAACACAAAGTTTGTAGTAATCAGTTGAAATTCTCTTGAGATGACCATAGAACTTCAACCCAATTTCACGATGACAATGACTTACAATCTGTAATTCCAAAGAGATTTGTAGTTGTTCGATGATCACTGCCATCGTCGGACGTCGCTTCCGATCTATGTTCAGGCATTGATAAGCAATTCTGGAGAATGTCTGCAACGAATTTGGTTTAATTTGTTTCCGGATACTGGGAAAAATGATTTCGTCTAGTTTTCCCTCTTCATAACGATGTTTGACCAAGTGAGATAAAAACCGTTGCTCTTCGTCATATTTTCCGATCATTGCTCGCCTTCCACATAAGACTTCAAAGAGCACCACACCAAAAGAATAAACGTCGGATTCTTTTGTAAGTACCCCGGTGGCTACATACAGTGGATCAACGTAGCCGAATGTGCCAGCTAATTTCGTTACAAGAAAAGTGATATCCTGATTCATAGGGCCGATTTTAGACAACCCAAAATCGGAAATCTTAGCTTCCCAATTCTGATCCAACAAAACGTTGGAACTCTTTATATCACGATGTAACACCCTGTGACCCTCTCCAACGCCGCTATGTAGATAATTCAGTCCTCGAGCAGCACCAAGACATATCTGAAGCCGTTGCACCCATGTAAGATAATCTGTGGCTAGATAATTATCCAGGCTTCCACGAACCTCATGCTCATAAACAATGATCTTCTCTTCACCTTCCTCACAGAATCCAACAAGAGAGACGAGATTATCGTGTTTGTAACTAGAGAGCATGACGATCTCCATCAGGAACTCGTGTTGTCCTTGACCGCCTTTCACATCTAACCGTTTTACAGCGACTGTGGTGGCTGTCCTGCCGGAGGTGGTGGCAGAGGTGGAGTCGCCCAGTTGGCCCTTGTACACCCTCCCAAATCCACCCTCACCGATGAAATTATCATCGGAAAAGTTGTTTGTCGCCAATTTGATGTCTTCAATTGGAATTTTAAGGTGGGCGAGTTCTTGAATAAGAGACATGATGCAGATAAGATTAAGCGAGAATTGAATGGCAATCATTCCATGGATTTCTGTTGGATATCACTGAATTATTAAATCATTAAAGTATGCCAGATTTGAATAGTCATTAACGTCTTTTTCAACCTTTTTGTTTTATTAAGACAAAACTGCAAAATTGGTCCTTGTGGTTTACGAAAATCTATGGATAGGGTCCAAAAAGTTTCCAACTTGCATGGAACGTCCAAAATCGAATACTTTCCGTGGTTTTAGTCCTAAAATTAAGAAATTTCTGTGTTTTTGGTCCTAGGGAAACCTGAAAGGACGATTTTACCCTTCTAATTTCCTTTTTGTATTTTTTGTATTTTTATTTTAATCTTTTTATCAATTAAAAATAGAAAGGAAAAGAATTGACCCACTTCACACACACACACTCTCTCTTACTCTCTATCTCTTTCTCTCCGATGACCAAGAAGATCACGACTCAGACTCTTCCTCTCCTTTCGTATACTCCTCCCTAAACCCAATGACACCACCATGATCCTCTAAACCCGTGGTCATCGGCACCATCCTCGGCCATCGTCGCAGCCCCATTTGGTTCGCAATTTGTCCCGATTAGCCCTCCAATGCCATAACTCACCAGAATCGATTCAATCCACGACTGTGGGTGTTGGCGTTATTCCATCTTTCCAATTTGAATCTGGCGGCGATTCTGAACCCAGATAAACCTATTCATCTCATGCTCAAATCGATTCAATCTATGAATTCATTATGGATAGACCAGATTCTGAATCTTTTCATCTGATTAATCCGGTTGGGTTTCTTGGTCAAGAAGAAGATAGGAGAGCATGGAAGTCTTACCCTTCAATCACAAGTTCAAAGTCCAATTGAACCAGATGAATCGATTTGAATCGATTCAACATGGGTCTTGTAAATTCTAGGGTTGACTGCCATGGATATTGCAAATCTAGGGCTTGTAAAGTTAAGATTCAAACGTGCAAATTGATTGTAGAGTGTTTGTGTGCGTGTATCTATGCATGTGTGTTTATTAGTGTATATGAGTTTTGAATCAGGAAGATGTTGATAGAGAAATGGAAGATGATGCAGATTAAAGTAAGATTTTGCATGTGAAAGGGAGAGGGGAAGATTGCAGAGGTGATCTTGGAGTTTCGGTGCTCATCGGAGTTCTGGTGTTCGCCGGAGATCTTGGTTTCTAACGAAGCACACACACATACAATTTTTTTGTTCTGGATTTTTTCTTGAGTTGTAGGTTTTATATAAGAGAGAGAAAGAGAGGGACAAAGAGAAAGTCAAATGGAAGAACGATGGGGTTATGGATTGCTCTTTTTTTTCAATTTGCAGGTGAAGAAGAGAGAGAGAGAGAGAGAGAGAGAGAGAGAGAGAGAGGGGGGAGAAGGGGGTACGGTGGGTGGAGTCGTGGAGAGGGGTAGGGTGATATTTTTTTTATTTTTTATTTTTTTATAATTTTTTAAATACTAAACTCAATAAAAAATGGAAAAAAGAAATAATAAGGGTAAAATGGACATTTCAATATTTTCAGGACCAAAACCAAAGAAAAACCTTGATTTTGGACCATCCATACAAGTTGGAAACTTTTTGGACCCTATCCAAAGTTTTGTGAATACCACAAGGACCAATTTTTTAGTTTTGTCTTTTATTAACATCAAATTGCATTAAAAATTTAGACGTTCAATTGATAGTCCTGCAAACGTCATCGGTGGCTTCCAACTCATTAATAATCTGAACTAGGTAAGTAACATCGCGTTGCGGGGTCAGATGTGAGATTTTTTGTTTGGTTTATTCTCTGTGAATATTCTTTCATGAATTATTTGTTTATACTTTGAACACAACATTAGAGGGTGTTATTATTTGAGCATCGTTCTTGAAGGAGATTTTTGATGATTTGACAATGTTTTATTTAGGGGAATCACTTAGGTCTCGTTTGATAGTTTCTGTCTGGTAAAGTGCTGTCTGAGAAAGTTTTCTGACTGGGAAAGAAATCATGTTGTTTGATTGTACATCTGATTGACTGTGCTGAATGATGAAAAAAAGTAATAATTCAATAAAAAATAAATTTAAAAAAAGTTATTTAAAAAAATTAATAATCCAATAAAGAAAGAAAAAGGAGGGGTTTGGTGTATAATTGTCTTTCCAGCCCATTCAGCCAGAAAGATATGATTTTGGGGCTTTCTGGGAAAGAAATATCTTACCAGGAAAGACCCCTTCTTTTGTGCAAATCAAACAGTCTTTCCGGTCCATTCAGCCAGAAAGATCTGTTTGGACCTGGAAGATGCGTATCAAACGGGGTCTTACTATCTTTCTTGTTTGTTCTTTCACTATTGTTTTTATTAAATACATTTCCATGTTACAGTGTGTATGGTTGCAAATAGATGGAATAGCATCTGACCATCTGGTTGACCTCATAAAAAAGTATATAAATATATAATAACCAAAATGTTAAAAAAAACAATATATATATATATATATATATATATATATATATATATTATATATTATACCTCAAATAAACGAACATCAAGTCCCCTCACATGATAAAAAATTTAAGCCAAAAATTCCAATACTAAATAAATGATACACTGTTTGTGAAAAGTGATATGAAACTACTAATTGTTTGATAAAAAAACTAAAACGGATAAAAAGCTCACACTTAATATAGTACTAAAATATCAATGAAAGATCCGTAAATGACCACATACTTGTCTCCATCCCCCAACCTACAAAACAAATTAACTTAATTAACCCCTTTTTGTATAAAAAAGAATAACCACACTCTAATAAATAAATGAAAAACAAATTTTTAGAAAGTTAGTATTGAACTAATTAAACAGGTTGTCATCAAAGCATACCATGTGTTTTGGAAATACTAACAGACTGTTGAAATACCACAGTTATTAGAATACTCATTTCACATGTTTTAAAACAACATCAAATTGCAAGGATTAAGTATTAAAGATTGTAGCTTTTGCAGAACAAAAGTCATAGGACTGTCAATATTTCAACTTTAACTATTCAATGAATTTATTTTCAGAAAAAACGGAACTTCCCTTGTAAAGAATGCCACTTTCAGCCTTCTATGCATGATAACTTTGTAAAGACTTGTACAAAGCCATAAAGCAACATGAAAATGATTTGAAAATATATAATACTATTCCTAAAGTAAACAAATCATGCCCTCACAATGTATCTTTCATGAAATGAGAACTTTATGCTATTTCTTTGCTGAATTCAGAATTTTTATGCAGAAAGCATAATTGTAATGTTGTTTCTTTGCCGAAATCAAAATTTTTATACAAAAAATTTTGGGTTTATATGAGATCCTCTTCTCACTTAACTATTTTCTAGGCGAAAATAACTTTTATTAGATATACCCTGTAATTGTACAGACAATGTCACACCCCAAAACCAAGAACGGCGGAAACGTTCTGGGGTGGAGGACGTCATGTACAGTATCACAACCGTGCATAATAGTAAAGACAAGCAACAACATCCATTGCATTAATATAATAATTGTAATACAAGCGTATTCTGTATAGTTTGTAAGACACCAAAAGTATAATCAAAATAAAAGATGAGTCTTGTATGTGCTCCATCTTCTCAAAAGTTTCATCTGTACCTGTCTACTGATGACCTGAGAATACAAGTTATTTTGAAAGCGAGTATCAGCATAAAGCTGGTGAGTTCATAAGTATTTAGTGTCGTTGCTTGCATAAAAATGTTAGTAACAATGTAATGTAGTAATCGATTTCAAATGTTTTGTAAATAGTATACTCCCTAGGAAGCCCTATGTTTTCCAGTAAAAAGGTAGTCTTCTACCAAGACCCGATTGTTTGTACAATTGTTCTTTTGTAAATATAAGGGTTTTTCCCCAGTGAAAACTATTAGTATAAAATATAGTTTTCTTAAACGAGTAGGTGACAAAGTCACAAGGTAATGAAATACAGACTCCAGGTGGTACTGAATGCACAGCACGCCTCGGAAAGTCCAAAGTAAAAATATGTAGACTCTAGGTTGTGTTATGTGAACACTACGCCTCGAAAAGTCTAGTTTTGCCTTAAATCCTTATTTAGTTAATTTAAGGTTTGAATGTGAACTCGTATGTAACCATGATGATCGACGGCTGAATAACTGATGACCATCCAGGTCACACGTAGTATGGTGACATTTTGTCACCCCTGGGCCTTGTCGGCTTGGACTGTAGCTAGCAGTCGGGATGTGGGAGTGTCTGTCCCGTATAGATCTATACACATAATGTCCGCTCTCCCTCCAGGAGACTCTGGTTACACGGTGATAGCACAATGAAGTGTCGTATCGAGAAGTAGTATGTCACATTATGTATTAGTATTTAATGTTTGTATAGTGTATAGTATGTTCTCTTGTATAGTGTATAGTATGTTCTCTTGTATAGTGGATATCATGTATTGATACTCAATGTAGTACTTAAGTAGTGACTCACAAAAGTATCGACTCTTGTATGGGTCGTTGTAATAGTAGTAGTGAGTGGTAATCCCTTAACTATACCTATAATAGTTAAATAGTAAGGTTGTCTAGATGCCTTTGTTACACAAAGGTACTGAATCGAAGTGAAAGCTTTTATATCCAACACATATATAGGATATATAACTAAGAGTTCAACGACCTTCGGACAGATAACAGGATACCCTAAGTCCACAACCAAACAAGGAACAGGAAATAAGGTGAGCTATCAGTCCTAAGTCCTTCAAGCCTTACTTATATAAATATACTGGCGTAGATATGGATTTGAAAATATTACAAGTATAAAAGAGTTTGAAAACAGTTTTAGCATCAAAAGAGTTTAATGAAAAGGTTTGAAAGCTTGAAAATCCATAAGTTTGATAGCAATTTGAAAGCAGTAGAGAATCTTTCTGTTTGTTCTAGTTATCAATCACATGTGATTAAAGCAATAACTAGAAATGTTCAACTTGTATTCCCCCCCCCCCCATTCCCCCCCCCCCCCATAAAAGCATTTAAAATCATTTAAAATGTTAATTAAGGGGTATGAACTCACCTGCAGT